CTGCATCTGAGCCATGTGATCATGAGCCATGGGAGAGAAGGGACAGGCATGGGGGTGTGAGATAAGAGGCAGTTTGTTATAGTTGTGATTCATTATCAGGGTGGTGTAAATTCAACCGTGAAGGCTTTCACATTAGACAAACAAAAAGCTATTGTTATTATATTTGCACTGACGTTTCCTCAGTTATTTAAAACACACAAGAGATCCAGCCAAAACGACATGAGAGCCCTCACATTTTTACTGAGAACCTACTGATTGACTGGAGCCTTATTTAAAAAATGTACACAAAAGCACTTGAAGCATCATGTGAATTGTTAAAATAACATTGATATGACATAGTTAACGCTTCAGCCTGGTGACAGCAGTGATTACATCTTGCAGCCTAAGAAAGTGGCTGTCATCATTGTGCATGTGCATTCAAGTACAACAGCTACTGTATGCAACAGTAAATAAGGAAATGCGTGTATGTTTTCATGCTTGTATGCTGCATGTGTCCTGTAAACAGTGAGGTATGCTGAGTATGTTCATGTGCACATGTTAACATAACATCCATTACATTTTTTTCTAAAACCAGTTATTTTGTGGCTGTATAGCAATTTTGCACCATGGTTTTGGCAGTTGAGGCCACATGCATGACTGACATTTCAATTGCGTAATCTCTGCATGTATTTTGTTTTTTGGAAGCCAAAGCTGAAAGACCTGTTCATGATTTGATGTATGTTACAGCTTCTCATGCTTATTAGCCTAAGGTTTTTGATTTGCAAAAGAGTGAGAAGTAACCATAGGCTGTGTGGAAGTAACTCACCCCTGAGCCATCGTCCGGGCTGCACATGGACCGGGCCGGAGACAGGCTGGACTCGAAGTCGCTCCCAGTGAAGTCGTCCTCGGACTCCTCGAAGGACGAGGCTGAGGACAGGCCGATGGAGGAGGAGTTGGACAGCTTCCTCGGTGATCGCATCAGGGCAGGGGACCCTCCGCAGCCACTGTCCGAGCAGGGGGACTCGTCATCCGGCTGAGGCTCCAGACACGAGCCGGGGGTCAGCAGGGTCGGTGTCTCCGGGGGGCGGGTCGGGCTGGGGTCTCTGGTGATGATAAGTGTCGGTATAGTTCCTTGGAAACCTCCTGGGGGATTCTGAAGGGCCTTGTCAGAATCCTTCAAGGTCTCACTTTCCCCGGTGGGATCGGGCCGACCTGACACGCTGCTACAGTCACTTTTTGTCATTTTAGCCTCAACGTGATCCTCCGGTATCGATAGCCCACTGTCCAAAGGTTGATCCGGGGAAGTCCTCTCAGTGTCCGTGTCAGAGGTGAGCAGCGGGGCTGAACTCACACTACTAGCCCCCGTTAATTCCCGAGCCTCACACACAATACCACCCAGGTTGTTTCCCCACGGTGGCTGATCTTCCATGGCCCTCGTCGGGGCATCCGAGGCATTGTACTCTCGCTCGGATTTCGGCTCCTCGACTTCACCGGTCCGAGTTTCAAAACCTGACGCATCTGATGATCCGTCCTCTCGGTTCACGGCGTTTTGGATAGCCTCCACATGACCATCCAAGCCGGATGGAGCCTCAAAACAATCCGCGGAAGCTCGGTGTTCCCTAGCCGCCGACACTACCTCGTCCCTCGGCAACTTTCCTACTCTGTGATCGCGACGCGCTGCTGGATCTCCAGCTGCGTTTTCGCAAGGTAAATCCGCGTCAGTTTGGCTGGAGACTCGCTTTCTCCTTCCCAGACACGATAACACATTATTTTTCATCGGGTTTTTGTTCAGCTGGTACTCCCGCCGCTTCGGCCCGCTCCTAAATGTGCAGATACGGAGGCGCTGGGCTGTTTCGCCTGCTTTCCACTTCGCTCTGCCTGGGCTGGCGCTGCTGCTGTGCGAGAGATCCGAGCGAGTTTGTCCCATCCTGCATGCCGTAGTAGTAACAGTGACCCAGACACACCCTCAGTGGTTTAATTTGAAACCACCAACTGTAACTCCCTCAATGTACATTAAGCCATTAGTCACACAAAGCCGTGGACATCCTAAATTGCTCCATTTTATTTTCCAAGGCGGAGAATCTGTGAGAACAAACAGACAGATGACCAATGATTTAGTGAACACAATAACTGCATGAGCAATACAATACAAAACACTCCCCATATTAAGTCTAACAATCAGACTGATAATGTAATCATTAATAGCCCATATAAAAGCACCTGCATATGTCTGAGGGCCACAGTAAACACTGGCTGTTGTTAATCACAGTTCCTGGCAATTCATCTGTGATTTATAATTTCTGGTATTCAGAAATTAGTAGGCTGCACGACAAATAAAGTGAAAGAAGGAAAGTCAGATTATATGCACTGAAAACATATGACAGTAGGAGTTATTTAAATATTCCAGAACAACAGTTGATTGCAAAGAAATGTAAGGTTTCAATGAGTTTCATGCTCAGTTTCACCAGTACTGGTAAGAGAGTAATACTGCCCTCCTGTGCCTGGACACTGTGCTCTTGTCTATGAAACTTGTAATATCTTAAGCATTTTCATTTAGACCTTAATGGCTATGTGTAAAGTATTGTTTTACTTAACAGATGTAACGCTGTATATTAGTATGATTTTCATAGATTAATGTATTAATCGATGAATCATTGGTGAAGAAGATGACAGGAAATATGTCTCGTTTTACAACATCCAAAGTAAACTTCAAGTTGTTTAATGTATTTGACCCACAGCCTAAAACGACTGTGGGTCACATTCAATGTACAGAGATATTTTAAAAAGAAAAGAAAATCCTTATAATTTAAACACTTGAACCAGCAAATGTTTGATAATGTTGCCTTTTAAATAACTTCAATCACAACTAAGTCATTAAACAAATGCTGAGATGTCCAAACACAGAAAATACAAATTGTATGGCTTCACTACCTTTGTTTGGCCTTAATTGATCATGAAATATAGTTGGTAAAATTGAAAACTGTAAGGTGAATAATACACTCCTGTATGCATCACACATTCCAGCCTACTGATAGCCCCCATTTTAGATTTCTGGAAAGACACGTTTCATAATTTCCTAAGACAAGACAGAATCCTGGAAATATTTAAATATCATTACACAAGATGCAGTGAGCCGCTGGGAGAGATTTTCTGTAATTTACTGTGAGAACACTGCAGTCACCCTGATGTAAGGAGGGAATGCTCACGGAGGGGAAACAAGACAGGAAGGATCACAATGGAAAGAACAACTCATTGTGAACATCCCCCACACAGACTCTCACATTCAAGTATATTCAAGGACATTCTTGTGTAATCAAAATCATAAATAATCATACATGATGACTCACACCATGGGGAATGACTGACATGCTTGAAACAAGGTAGCATTGAATAGATTCTTTTAATCAAAAGATTACGCACACTTCCACCCATCCATCAACCCATCGACATACCGTGACTCATAGTAATCATTCCTTGGCAAACATATTACAAAACACTAAAATGTATCTACACCAAAGTTAAATCCACTCACAACAACAGTATCACCATCAATGGACTATTCATTAGGTACATATATTGAATCCAATGCAACCACAACGTTTATAATGTTCAGTTTCTGTTGACATTGTTGGGAATGTATCACTAATCACAGAAGTCCAGTGCAACAACAACACTTAGTCTGCCCGATTACAAAAATATGACTTGATGCTAATCATAATTGAATTGCCGTTCTACGACAAATACTGAACAGAATCCTAAAGTAACCCTTAATAAAGAACAGTTGTATTGAATTGTACTATATTGTACAAGTGTACATGGAGAGGAAAATGAATGTATATACTTATTAAAATAATCTACTTATTCGGCATCTAGTTGTTTAATCTGAAGGACACACTTCATGGAAACGGTGTAAAACTTTCTTAAATTGCTCTAAAATTAAATATTCTAGGAAATAACAGACACTTTGTATTTAGTGGTTTTATAAGGAAGCCACACAATAATTGTTTTAAATGTAATACTTGACAAATTGTGGACAGAAACGAAATGTAGGTTTATTTTCTCTTCGTGTATTTTGAGTAAATGTATTGGTGGCAATACAGTCAATATACATGACTTCCTCAAGCTGACTTCTAACGGGTGTAATATATTTTTAAACAAAACATTTATGTCAAATTAAAAAACAATTACAAATGACTTTGGATACCGTTACAATCCGCATCATACATATACAACTATTTATAATATCAAACAAAACTTACCAGGCTGATCCTGAGTTTCTCCCCTGGTGTCTGAAGCAGCTGTTGTTAAAGGGTTGAGAGACGTGGAGCTTTATAGCACTTATTCAGGGTGTATAGGGGATGTGATGTGTGATGTGTGTGTTTGTGCGTGTGTGTGGATTTAGTGTAGTAGCAGCATGTGGTTGACGTGAAAGAGGAAACGCTTGTCTAAACAGGGTCAGGTTTGACGAAGGTTCCATGTAACTAAAGGATGAGGTTATATAATACGCGAAACTATCCTTAAAAACACAGTTTAAAGACAGATCAGACCAATTGAAATTGTATATAACCAAAGTGCAATGTAATAGTTTAATTTATTGTCAAAACGTTTCAAAACAAAAGCACTAAAGATCGACATGTCAAGAGGGTTTAAAAATGCTGCTTTCACATGTCCCCCTGAATTTCCTGCTTCTGAAATGCTTAAACCTTTCTTCTTTTCGCAAGTTCTTTTCGTAGTCCTTTATTCATTATACTAAACATATCTTATATTTTTAAGTGCAATTAAAAACACATCTACTTCAAGAAACGGGTATTTTTCTCTGCCAAATCATCTCTCATGTACAAAAGGGATCACGTCATGTTGCTGGTCTCAATCTGTTTAGAGTTCTCTGATAGCACATGAAAGCAGCATAGGCCTTTTTATCTATGCACGTTTTATCGGTCATTTTCTGGAGTTTTGGCTTTTATATGTCATACGTCAATACAGTCATAAACAAATACTTCTCACAATTTATCTTTTAAATGTACTATTTTACCTTTTGACATTCGTTATTTAATTGTTTTCAAGAAACGCAATTGGAAAATGTTTGGCAGGTCTGAGTTTCCGTAGAAGCAGGAAGTAGCGTTTCACAACCATCGGGGCTCCGGCGTGACATTCACCGGGTTGTCAGAGTCAGGGTTAAGAAGAGGGGTAAAACGACCACCCTGCACTCAAACTATAAGTTGTCAAAATGAGAGTTCTACAGGCGGGTCTGTCTTTGGCCAAATCTCATCTCCTGGCTCCAGGAAGCGTCACTCTGAAAAAGGTAACGTTAGCTGTCTGCAGCTGAACCCATTTGACACCAAACCTCCATCAGCCCTGTGCCTTTCACGATCGGTCAACAGACAGACAGGGATTTGAATATTGATTTTCATGTCCTCAGGTGCTCATCAACAGCTGTCGGACATGCTCCTCCGGGTTCTATCTCAACGAGAGCATCCGCAACATCGGGATCTCGGCTCACATCGACTCCGGGAAGACCACCCTGACCGAGCGCGTCCTCTTCTATACCGGCAGGATAGCAGAGATCCACGAGGTGAGTGTGGCTGTGCATTATGATTAAAACCACCTTTTAAGAGCCAAATAGTTATGCACATACAAGGAATTTGACTTTTTGCGCATTGCTCTCGAAGTACATGCATATAGGTAGACATAACGGCGAGAAACAAGGACAACACAGCTGGACAAATACATCAAGAATAGACAGGACTAATATGTACACAAGTATGTGAAAAAAGCAGCTGTATATCGATAATTACTATATAAAGCATCAATGACCAACTACAATGGTTTATTCTGTTGATCTGCAGAAAAGTAATCAGCCACCTTCGTTATTAATTTTTCATGTGTACATTTTAAGGGCAGCATTTAAAATATGTAGGTTTCCTGCTTTTCTTTGTTTATTATCAAATAACACTGGATAGCTTTGGGTTCAGGCCTTAAAAAAGAAATCATTCAAATATATCACTTTGGACTGAAAAAAACTGGAGAGATTTATTTTCATTTATAGACCAAATGATTAATCGAGAACATTATGGGGAGATTATTTGATTTGATTTTTGCAGGCAGCCTCGAATAGATCTCTATATACTATGCATTAAGCTTGTAGGATTTAGAAGATGATAGTTCATCAGAGTGACAGACAGGGAGAAGACACTCTTTTGTTTTGGTGTACAGCGTTCTCCTTGGTTGAGTCCTGGTTGAGTCCAGTGTTCCAATGGTCTACAGTGATGTTACCTATCTGTTTCCTGCCTGTGATTATCAGCATTAGTAGTCTTATATATGAATCAGTTTTTGCTTTCAGTTGAGGTTAAAAGGTGTACAGTTTGAATCTTTCATGGTCTGTTTTCCTCCCCTGGATTGTGTAGGTGAAGGGGAAGGATGGTGTGGGAGCCACTATGGACTCTATGGAGCTGGAGAGGCAGAGAGGCATCACCATCCAGTCAGCTGCTACATACACTGTGTGGAAGGATCACAACATCAACATCATTGATACACCAGGTACTAAATGTTCTTGGGGACAACATGTTTGCATATGACTTCTGATTTAGGTTTTTTTTTAACTAAAGGTCAATCAATCAATCAATCAATCAATGTTTATTTATATAGCCCAATATCACAAATGTTACATTTGTCTCAGTGGACTTCACAGTTTGTACAGAATATCAGTAGGTCTGTGTTTAACACAAGCTTGTGAAAAGCTTGTGAAATTCTCATGTTTTGTTCTACGAAAGAAAATATGTCAGTACATACCCCAATCTTGAAGTCCAATGCTTCTATGCTGCCATTAAAAAATTGTGAATAAGTCACCAAATGAGACTACTTATCATCGTCAGGTCTTAATTAGCTGCCTTTAGCTTAGCGAGCATGATGTAGTTTGTTTGCAGAATTACACTAGCGCTTTTACTTCTCTGGATTGCATTTACGCCCCGATCATCATACAACTGGTGGTAATATGTGTGGACTATCCGACTGAACAAAACATGGAAGTATCATAAAGTGTGTTTTCCAAATAAGTTATTTTCTGCAGTATTCCGAAATCCAGCAGGAGAAAAAAATTAAGCTTTAGTCGATGGAGCCCTTGTGAAGCTAACTTCCGGGTCGGTCTACAAAAATACGCCATCACTGCACCATTCTATGAACTATTTAAATGCAGAGTCATAATGGAAAGAGTGTCTACGTCTCTGCTTGATAGACCACAGCAGATAGACCCAGAGGCTTCCAGTGGAGTTCCAACCTGAAGCTATCATCTCCACCAACAACCACGTGATACAAGGAAAACTACAAGGAGAGCTTTGAAACTATAGAAGAAAAATAAGGCTCAAACATCATCAATGAAATGAGGCAGATGTTGACATTCAGGAAAAGGTCTCCTCCAGGTAAAGACACAAAAAACAGCAACAACTGTAAGGAAAGAGCTACCTCAAAGAACTGAAGCTTTGCTAAATTAGGAGGAAGCTCATTGTGTCGGAGGGTTCAGAGTGACATGTGGACAGGAGGAACCAAGGATCACTTTAAAACCTTTCAAATCTTGCCAAGTATATTTGCCTAATTTCTTGTAAGAATGTTTATTTACAATTGATGAATAAATAACTTAAAAAGTAACAATGCATTGAGATATAGGGTCTTGTTTTTAGACAATGTCTCAGACGAAACACTATTTTGTTTAACACAACATTTCCCGATTCTGGTAAAATGAAGTTCGAAATAAGTTGTCCCAGCTAATTACAACAACTCATTTCTAAATATCCCATTTTAGGAGAAATCGTCCGAGAAATATTATAAAGCTTGTTCTCTTGGCACCTTGATTTTATTATTCTTTTACTTGATTTTGGAGCAGCATTTTTCCACTGCATACCTCCATCCCTACGCCTTCGGGACACATTGCTATACCAGCTGCACCACAGCAACCCTCCTGCACTGCCATGTAAATCTACAATTTAGTTTCATCATCTCTTAGAGAATTTGGCTTGGATCCCAATGCAGTAGAGGTGAATAAAATCCAGTTTGCAGTGCCAACAGCATTGAAAAGTGACATTTCAAATCGAAAGGAAAATTGTAATTTTTTTCTAGAACCAATATCTTTTGTCTGTTTTCATCTGTTTTCAGTTGCTCTTTTTTGAACTATTTGTGTTGAATTCTTGTTGGGTTGATGTTGAGTTTGATGACCTCCACTCTGTGACAGGTGTGAAGGAGTGCTGAACTGTAACTGGATAAAGAAGAATTGTGTCAGTTAAGCTGTTTCTCAATGATAATTCAAGTTGGCCGCCGGTCCTTTCAGCATGCAGCAAAGTGAGTGGGGTGAAGAAGGAAGGGGACAGAGGGATAGTTGAAGGCGGGAGAAGATAGGAATCGATCGTGGAAGAGTGTTCCTCCCCACCAACACTGAGGTTAAAGGAGAAGGCTCCACAGAACAATGTCCTACTGAGTAATTACAAGAGCACCTCTCTTAACACACACAACTGACCCTGCTCCATGCCTATCCGTGTTAATAATCAGCGCTCATAATGAACACAATCCATAGGTCTGCTGGGTTAAGGTCCTCAACAACCTTGCTCCAAGCAACAACGGCCAAGCTCAGCACAAAGAGACGCTTTCTTTAGATGGAGCTGTGTGACGCTACTGCCCCCCAGTGGACACACGGGACACTGACGGCCTCCATGTTATCTTATGAGGTAAGATTACTGTACACAGTCTGTGGGTCAGTAACATAACCCTAACCCTGACTTTGAAAAACGATTTGCAGTACAACTCAGGCCCTTGAATATAACCCATGCGTTGGAACTATTTATTGGTAAGACATTTATTATTTGTATTTTGTAATAACTCTTGAGATTCATTTTCTTGTTTCTTCTGTTTATATTGACCCTTATTTATTGCAAATATTTTAAGTATTAAATTAATTGCAATGTTTTTATTTTGAAGGCAGTTTTGGGCACTGGCTGATTATGTATATATTGGAGACAGGTAGTGATGGGATTAGCGCACCAGTATAGGCATATGTTTTTTTGCCAGGGTGACCAAGGAAAGCCATAGGAAGAGCTGCTGGAAAAGAAAAGGTGACACCAGATTTCATTGTACTTTTGATGATATTGGCTAATGGAAATAAATGTATGAAACATTGTTCTTGCCTGGACTTGGAACTACTTTACTAGTTTTGAATAAATAATTGAAATGAAAAGAGTGCAACAATGTGCTGTTGGATCATTATTATTTTTTTAACTAGTTCATTCTTGCTGGCTTCTCCACTGTTGCTGATCCAATCCTTAACACTAAACATATGTTTATTTTACCAGTTTCTGACATTTTGTAAATGTAATCATCTATTCATTATTACACTGTTTATGTGGTATAAAAGGTATTCACAGCTGTTTATTTCCTCTGCGGAAGATTTGCTTACCGGTGCCTCAGCGGGCATTTTATTTTTGAGTTTTTTAAGGTGGAATGAATATTGTTGTAGTTATACAACCTTAAAAGGCCTATAAACACAACGAAGCAATTAAGATCATTAACCACAGTGATAGAAGAAGTACTCTGTTTTATACTTAGTTAAAAGTAGTACATTACATGTCACTTGTTAGACGCTTTTATCCAAAGCGACTTACATACTCAATACTGTGGACAATCCCCACAGGAGCAATTTGGGGTGAAGTGTCTTGCCCAGGGACACAACGACATGCTGATTGCAGTGGGGTTTGAACCTGTGATCCCCTGATCCGAACACCAACGCACAATCCAATGCACCACACGCCTCCCTAAGTAATACTTAATTGTAAAAATACTGGGTTAGAAGTAAAAATCCTGCATTCAAACCTTAGTGAAGTAAAGGTACAAAAGTATTGGCAGCAAAATAGACTTAACTAAGTGCTCATAAAGCGTTATGGTCCGTTTCAGAATTTGAAATGACTTGATTATGAATATTGATGCATTAATTTGTCTATCACAGCTGGTAAAAGTAGAGATCATTTTAACACACATTTCTTTTTTTATTTAGTGTTTTATTTTCTATTAATATTTGTTTTATTTTCTGCTGTTTTTCTTTAATGTATCTGTTATTTCAACAGCTTTGATGTCGTGTGATCTAGTGATGCCAAAACCAATTTTATTATAACACTGGCGGTGAAGAATACACCTCGTTGAATTGGATTTTATTTTTTTTTCCAGTTTATATGAATATTTTTGGAAACGTTACTGTTTCTTTACGGGAAAACATTTATTTTTATTTTGTGTGCGATAGGCTAAGGGGCGGGACATCTCTAAGCAGTTGAACAATCAAAATAGAGCCGGCCAGCTAACCAATCAGAGCAGACTGGGCTCTGGTTTCAGACAGAGGGTGAGAGCTTTTTGAACATTAAAGCATGGAAACGTCAGAGGCATAGAGGCACTAAATAAAAAGATGAACTTGAAAATGAGTATCGTAGGGCCCCTTTAATATTTTGTTACTTTCCTTTTCCTCTGGAATATAGGGGAACGCAAAAAATGTACTCAAGTAACTTGAATGTCGAATGTACTAATGTTCTTGTATGCTGGGTATAAAAACTGAACTCTTCCTTACTTCCCTAACATCATGCTCTCCTACAATACTGCAGTGGCTATATGTCAAATAAATCCTATTTGTAAATTAACAAATCCATTTAAAATACTTCCCCAATATTTCGACAGCCTGCTAGCTGAAATGATTGAACTGTGCTTGTGTATATATAGCTAAAAAGCAAGACATAGAGCAAGCTACCAGCACCTTTTTATTTGTTTTGAAGATGTATTAAAAGCTGTTTTCTTCTTCATCCTTGCCAGAGTAACCTTACAGCCGTCATGTGTAGGTTATGCAGATAATATTAAAAAAAAATAGACAGTAAGAAACCAGTCCTTAAAGTGGGCGATAAGGCACCGTGCGAACATGCTGGATCAGGATTTGGTTCGTCATTATAAACTGGCTAACCTCTCACTCACTTCCCACAGCTTCTTTGCCAGGGCATCATCCCGTCCTTTGGCTCCCACTTGTTGCAGCGCACAGTTAGAGAAGTAGCGTCCGCTAAAAGGCTCAATGCCCTTTTGCAGGGCACAATGCAGGGTGGTCTGGGCCCCCCCCTCAGGATCCTGGAGGAAGAGCTTGGCAAAGGGAATCAGGAGGAGCTGCTGCCATAGGCTAAGGCTTCGACTCAGCTCTGTGTTGATATATCCTAGAAGAAGAAAATGATGAAAAGTATGAGCTTCGCAGGAAGTGCTGAATGATTACTGGACATCAGCCTTGTTTACAGGTAGTCTATATTCTCTCAGTAGACCTGCGCTAGGATACTCTTGTGACATAGTACAATAATCTAAAGCAGCCATACAGCAGGTCAGAAATACAATAAGTGTAAACAACAGCTGCTATATTACCAAGACAGCCACAGATAAATAAAAGAGTCCTCTGCCTATATACGTAGTGTTCTGCCCGATATATGATATTACAGATATAAATGAGATTTCCTTACTGAGTATCCTACAGAATCATGTCAGAGTGGATGTCAGCCAGCTGAAGCTCAGCAGTAGTTAAGTGGTGCAGAAGGACAATGGCCCTTAACTTCACAGTGAATGTAATACAGAATGGCTTAGTGAAAAGAATATCTGCCTTTTAGAGTGGTTCAGTCAGAGACCAGACCTTATCCCAATTGAGAAGCTGAGGAATAACCTTGGGAGAGCCGTTCACACCAGACATCCTGAGAATATGACTGAGCTGAAGCAGGTGCTAATGTTTAATGGGTGGGTTAAATAAAGACATGAAAGATTATAAATGTTTGTATGTTATTAGCTTAAGCGCATTGTGTTTGTCTATAGTTGTGACTTGAACGATATCAGATCACAGTGAATGACCAATTCATGCATAAGTATTCCCATCAATGCACAACAATATTTTGTATTACTGCTGATTTTTATTCCATATTGTATTCCTTCTATTCCATTCCATTGCAGTATAAATACCGTTATATTTTACTATATTTTAAATTATTTTAAATATTTTTCTAGTTCTCTATCTGTGTTTTTAATTCTTGTTTGTATGCACCACGACACCTAGTCAAATTCCTCGTACGTGTAAACCTACCTGGTAATAAACCTGTTTCTGATTCTGAGTCTGATCATAACCCTAACCCTAACCATGCCATTGTATGTCTAATGACCCAATGCTTAACCCAATAATTGCAATACATAAATTAACACAGAAATGTTACATATTCCAGTCCAAAACAGCTTTCACCAACATTATTTCCAGATTTCCTCGATAAGTCTGATTGGTATTCGTCAGCTTTCTGTCACTTCCTGTTAATAAAACCTTATTGTCAGGTTAGAGACGGAGATATGCAAGTGAAAATTATAATGCTTTCCATCTGAAAATGGTTGCCAGAGAATATGTTAGCTTGCCTGACATTGCATAAGGCACTCACCTGGGTGGAGGCAGAAGCAGGAGACGCTGGTGCCCTCGAGCCTGTTGGCCAGCTCCCTGGTGAAGAGCACATTACACAGCTTGCTGTCGCAGTAGGCTTGGAGGTTGCACCAGGTAGACTGACCAGACACCAAGTCTTTCTTAGAGGTCATCAGGGGGAAGTGAGCTTTGCCTCGACGGTGCCCAATGGATGCCACAGTGACCACACGACTAGGACCGCACTTCTGGAGGCTTTCCAGGAGAAGGTTGGTGAGCAGGAAGTGACCCAGGTGGTTGACCCCAAACGCCAAGTCAAAACCATCATCTGTATGTCCGTGGCCCACCACACCTGAAACACAGCGCTTCTTTTACTTATACCCATTTTCTAAGACCAATGCGAAGACAGCGCACAATTGCGAACAAGTTTTTTGTGTTTTGGCACCACATTAACCAGGCCCTATATTTTGTGACGATACTTTTGAGTTACAACCCGTTTGCTATCCTGTTTCAGCAACAAGTGCCTACTCATTTAAAGCATTTATGGTTAAGAATCAATATGCTATACGTGGGTCCAGTTAATGTTACGTGAGTTGAACCAACTGCAAAACCAAAATAACCCCAGTAAGCGCTTAAGCAAAACTAATTTCAGTGGAAAAGGGGTATCAGTGTACTTCGACTTTACAGCTCTTTGGTAGGGATTTACAATTTGACCATCCTCACCTGCGTTGTTGATGAGGATGTCCAGTCGGGGTTCCGTCTCCAGGAAGGTTTTAACAAAGCTGCGAACAGACTCGAGACTCCCCAGATCCAACTGCATGAACACCACCTGATTGTTCCCACTCTCCTGCAGACGTTATTACACATATCCATCTGAATTGAGGAAACATGCTTGTCCTGCACCCATTTTCTGCATGTGAAAATAAACTTGAATATGCTAGAATGCTTCCTGGAATCAGGCTGGACTTTCTAAATGCTTGTGTCATTATACAGTGATGTGGTAAAAGTGTGTCTTACTTCCACATTATTACAAATGTGCGAGGGCTATGAGTAAGTCTAACTGTGAGCTAACAAAGGTCTGGTGATTATTCTCTCTCACTCAGCAGCCAGTTAATTAGGGACAACTACCTAAAACATAGTCTTAACTAACAATAAATCCAACTTTTTTGAAGGTTTTTGTTTTCAGTTAAGAGACACTTTTCAGATTAGTTGATATACCAACAGCTGGAATTATCAGTGCTATGTATGGATTGGGTGCAGCGTCCTGTGTCTACTTTAGCCCAGAGCAGTGGTTCCCAACCTGGGGGGGCGCCAAAGATTGCAGGGGGGGGCGCCAGGCCTCAGATGATTTGAGGCCAAATATCATATTTAGACTTTTTTTTTTTTTTTACATATAATTGTAACGCAATACATGATTGTCACTAAAAGCCTCGTCTCTACATCACAATAAAAAATAATTCATTAATTCATTTGAATACAAATTCAAGCTAGTAGCTATTATAGGCATAAAAAGACAGAAATGTATAATTCTTTCTTTAAAGGTGAACTATCATGCAAAATGCACTTTTGTACGTCTTTTATACATGAATATGTGTCCCCGGTGTTCCAGGGAACTCACCAAGTGTCAGAAAACACAACCCTCTCTCTTTTCCTCCATACCCAAATCTCTTAAAAAGGGGCTGCAACGGATCTGATACAGACTGATCCAGATTTGAACACTTCTATGACGTCACAAAAGTGGCGCTACGGCTATTGGGCCAACTCCACCAATCAGGAGGAGACAGCCACGGACATTGCCGTTCGAAAGCGCTGGAGACGCTGTAGTACATATGCCAGGCCTGTAGATGGTGCTGTTCTCACAGAGTCAGCCCATGAAAAGACAGTGTTAAATTGAGCGAAATGAGGAATGGCTAAAATGCATGATCTGTTTGGTATCTTGAAAAATAAAAAGTATAAATATGCATGGTCCACTATATTATTCAAATATAGCATGATAGGTCCACTTTAAATTAAAAGCAGCAGCAAAAATATATGTTTTCAGTCTCGATTTGAAAATAGTAAGAGTTTCTGCGGACGTGCATGATTCAGGCAGTTTGTTCCAGATTATGGGGGCATAATAGATACGCTG